GAGACCACAAGGGCCATCCAATCCAACCCCCTGCCATGCAGAAACACAGATGTCGACTTGGATGCTTTCAAGGGAGCTGCTTTGGGTTCATTTTAAGATTTTTCTTCTCTTCCTTCCCCCCTCCCCATTCCTAGTCTGCTCCCAGACTTCCTGAGACTGTCCAGCAAGGGTAAGAAGGAAAGGATCCAGTGTCTGCCGCAGACCTGGCTTTTCTCCTGGCTTTCCCTACACTCCCACCCCATTTCTGTGAGAACACTCTTCCCTCCTCCCTTCTCCCCCCCATTGCAGTTTCCAAGCAACTTTGGCCAGATGTGGAGTGAGAAGGGTCAGAAAGCAGCCTGCACAGCAGGGATCCACAGAGCTCTGGAGAGCAGCAGGGAGGAAGGGGAGTTGGAGGAACCGAGACCTTTCCATCTTCTCGCTGTCTCTCTCTCTGCCTCTTTCCCTTTCTTGCATTCTCTCCTTTCTGTCAAATGGGGTTAAAGGCAACCGGATGCAACTGCTGGCTTTTTGGCAAGCCAAGGCTAGGGCATTTTGCATGCCTGGGTTTCGTAACAGCACAATGCAAACAATAGATTCTAGCAAGCATTTAGAATCCTCAACATCTTTGTTTGCTTTCATAAAATGTATATTTCCAGACCTTGAACCAGATATGATAAGGGAAAGGCAGCCAATCTGGAGACTAGGGTTTGATTCCCCACTCAGCCTTGAAACCCACTGGGTGACCTTGGGCAAGTCACATGCTCTCAGCTTCAGGAGAAGGCAATGGGAAACCTTCTCTAAACAACCCTTGCCAAGAAAACCCCATGCCTTAGGGTTGCCGTAAGTTGGAAATGACTTGAAGGCACACAACAACAGCAACAACAGCTAAGTCAAGTTGCATAACTGAAGCCAGATCAGGAGAGTGACAGGACTTCTAGAGGGAATGACAGAGGGATACTTGAGTCCTCAGTTAGCAAAAGAATCATGTATACAACCAAACAATGTGAATATGCACATGTTCACATACACTCACTTGTTCAGATCATCGAATCCTGCTTTTCTCATTGCATACTTTCAGTCATCATACAGAGTGTTTACTCCCCCCAAACACACACAATAAGAACAGCACACAATGTGCCTTATTGCTTGGGATCAGCATTGAGAAAGCCTTTAACTGACCAAAAGCTTCAAAATCTAGCGCATCCTTTCAATAAGCTCAGGTGCCCCCTTCTTTGAATGGTATCTTTACAACTGCCCTGGAATGTAATTTAATTTAAGAGACAGCAATTGACTCAAAGTGACCAAGGAAGTTTTATGGCTAAGTAGTGATCTGAACTGGAGTCCCACCCAACCCAATCTCTATTCAGGGATGGGAACCATGTAGCTTGCATTCAGTCCTGGGTGTGTGCATTTGTAGTGAGCCCCCTGCCACCCCATCCTGAAAATATTATACCTCCAAAGTGTGATTTTTTTTCCCGATGAACCCCTACCACCACTAAAAACTACTATTTAAAATGTTGCTCTCACGTCAAAACAAGAAACAAGACAGTCCAAAAGGTGTCTAAGAGTGATAGGATAGCACATGCAATGACTCAGAATAGCTGCTGCAATGGGGTGTTGTGGGCCTCTAGAGCTCCAGAAGAGAGGAAAACGTTGGATGATGTGGCCTTCTGTGGCATGCCCACCTTGCTATAATCCACTACAACAAAACACTACTTTTCGAAATGTTTCAGGCTGTTTAGGAATTGAAAACAATAGGGTTTGTTCCCAGAACTTGGCAGGCTTAAGTTTTTTGGACAACAATCCCCAAATCCCATCGGTCAGCATGCCCACTACCTACGCTGGCTGAAGGATTCTTGGAGTTGTACATCAAAAAGGTAAGTTTTTCCTGAGCTTGGGTGGCTTATTTTGAGCCCAGGAAGAAGGAGAACCAGGGGAGTCAAAAACAAATGGGAAAGATGTATGTGTGTGTGTGTGTGTGTGTGTGTGTGTGTGTGTGTGTGCTTCTTTCTCTGAAGTTCTGTAAAACAGACATTTTCAAAACAAATACAAACTATTTAAAAGGCAGCTTCCACGAAAGACCCTTCCAGGAAATATTCAACCCCTTTTTTGGAACAATGGGGGACAGGAAATTCCAAAACAGCCTTGGGGAGCCACACATGGCCAATCCCTGCCCTAAGGTAATGGGCAAGATCCTTAAAAATGTATTGTACAGAAGCAAACTGATCCTAAGGGTTGCAGGATGGGGGAGTACAGAGAACATGTCATGCAATGCACCCACGTGTGTCCTCCAGCAGAAAGGACTGGTCAAGGGTGCATGGTTGAGGAGTGCCCACTGCTGCCCTGCATTTGCCATCTGAGGAGTTTTATTCCCATTCTGCCTCACGGTAGGATCGGCTGAGATTTCAGGCCATGTTGGTTGAAACCAAGTTTCCACACACACTGGTCTGGGTCTTGCCTGCCCACCCAAACTGATGTGAAGAGTTAGGAACATGAAACATCTTCCTGTCCCAGAAAAGAAAAGATGGAGATGTAAGGGAGCCCTAGTGGCACAGTGGTTAAATGCCGGTATTGCAGCCACAAGGTTTTGAGTTCGATCCCAGGGCTCCAAGGTCCACTCAGCCTTCCATCTTTTTGTAGATTGGTAAAATAAGTATCCAGCTTGTTGGGGGCAATTGGCTTACAGATTGTAAACCACTTAGAAAGTGCTGAGTTCACTGATAAGCAGTATAGAAATGTAAATGCTATTGCTCTATATATATTGGCCATTCCCTCATCCATTTCCTGCTCCCTCCATCCTTACCTGGGCCGCCCGTGTTTGCAATGAAGGTTCACCCTGAAGTTCCTCTCACTGCCATCCACCTCACTGTTGGGCTGCCGCAGCCCCGGGCCTTGGCTGCGCGGAAACCATTCAGCTGTCGGGTTGGCTCCGTTTTCCAATCCAACAGGCTGGCAGGCAATGGAGCTCCCATCTGTTAAATGGAAGCACACAGAGCCAGGCATGTAAAGGAGGGACAGAGCAAGCAGAAGTAGGAAAAGAAGACGACAACAGGAAGAGATTTAGGAACCCTGTTCTCTCCCCATTCCAATTTCATTTCAAAGGGCAGAGCCTATCAGTGCCTTGCTTATATGGTCAGGGCAGGAGCTGCATGTGAGACAGCAATGGAGGGAATATAAATGGTGCAGATGGCATTTCACATTGTCACCCTGCAGTTTTTGCAAGCTTGTAGTAAGCTAATGCTGCCTTTTTTTTTTGTTTTGTTTTGTTTTTTGTAAAGATAATTGGTGGAGTGCAGTGTGTGTCTGTGTGTATGTGTAATATGGTATCCTGATGTCCAGGAGGGCATTTTGATGAATTCTACTTTGCATTATCATCACTTAAGAAACCCAGTTATGTTCATAGGTAGGTCATCGTGGGTTTCATTCCTAGTTGGGTTTATTAATGCAGGTATGGAGAGCCAGCGTAGCATAGTGGTTTGAGTGTTGGACTATGACTCTGGAGACTAAGGTTTAATTCCCAGCTCAGCCATGAAACCCACTGGATGACCTTGGGCAAGTCACATGCTCTCAACCTCAGGGGAAGGCAATGACAAACCCCTCTAAACACATCTTGCAAAGAACCCCACACACTATAGAGTTGCCTCATGGTCGCCATGTCGGAAATGACTTGGAAGCACACAACAACAACAACAACAACATGAAGTCTAACACACATATTCTCTTTTCCTTTCTGCTCTTATATGCGCTCTCCCCAACTCTTAAACCAATTTGTACCTGAGATGCAACCAAAGAACAAGGGGTTGACAATTCCCATTCAAGGCCACCAAACAATAACACACGTAGATCTGAGATTGTAAAAGAACAGATGTGCAGAAGGGGGCAATCCAGCTCCTAAAGAATGCAACTCCACCTCACCCCAGAGGAATTACACTGTGGGGGCAGATGCCTGTACAGCCCTGATAAACTAGACAGACAAAATGTCCGTGCATCCCTTTGCATGCCAGGTCTGGCTGTCAATCATATCTGCCTCATCTCCGGCCGAGGCTTTCCTGGCCTTTCCTCCTCATCTGGCTCTGCTCCATTCCCCCCTTCCCTTTTTGTCCATCTCATCATAGCTCTGCAGGGGGATCAGCCAAACTCTATTAGCCACAGTCATCCTGCTATCTCAAGCTGTGTTACTGAATGTATGTGTGTGTGAGAGAGAAATAAAAAGGGGCATGCACACTCCTTACAAGTTATACTAGCAAAACCATAGACTCACAAAGGGATCTTATGAGATCATCTGGTCCAATTCCCCATTCCATGTAGGCTCTGCAATGCAGGATAGGGCAAAGGCTTCCTAACAGATGGTTGACCTGACTCTGCTTAATTGCCTCCTGTGAAGGGAAGCCCATCGTCTCTCAAGCTGAAAGCATGAAACTATGCATCTTTTGTTGTATGCCTGGTACACGTGTGCTGTTTTGCAGGCATACATTTGTGCATCTATTTACGAAACAACCTATAAAACTCACATTCACATTCAAGATCACCACCCAGAAAGTTAGGCCAAGAAAA